TCAATGCAACTTCTTTGTTTTTTTAGTTTCTCTCTTTTTTGTTAAAAGTCTTAACCTGGATGAAAAGGAATTTCAACTTTCAACCTCAAACCGGAAAAACCAAAGATCAGTCCCACATGACAGCCAAGTGTCTGCCCTGCAGGAGCTGACCTTGTGCTCTCAGCTAATTGTTTAAAGGGGGAAAACAAAAAATGAGTTTTTGTGGGAGGGTCAAATGTGAATGCAAATTAGTCCATCTTTTGTAAATGATATGAAAGCCACAAAAATAGAGGGATTATCTTGAAGTATTCAGCAGACCGGCTGGCTTACACAATTTCATAAATGTGTTTCTCTTGTCAAAGTGTCAACTGTTCATTGACTCACTTCTAAGGGCTCCAGAGTGTTTGACGGGTTGGTTACAAGCTGTCTTAGCTTTTTATATATAATTAATAAACAACTCTGGTCAGCTAGCCCTGCACATAGTATGTGTAAATATGTCTAATGTGCAATTTACAATAAATATTTTTGTGTGGCTGTTAGTTGCCACGTCTGACACCTGCACTGCGGCAGATGTTTCAGGCATTAAAATTCCCTAAATAGAGACAATCAAGCTCTCTCTCTGATGGTTTTGTTTGCTTTAAAGGGCATATATAAGCATCAGTATTAATATCAGTATTTCAAAAACCTCAAAAAAACTCCTCAAAGTAGCTTTAAATATCCATATTTGACAACAGCATTATATCATTTTACCACAGGAGTCAGGACGATGATAACAATATTTTTGCCCACCCCTAGAGATGTTCAGATTCCCTTTCCGCGGGACCCTAACCAGGGACTACAAAGAACTTAATAATATCAGATTGCCGTGTCCTCACTTCTATATCCTGCCAGTTCACACCATTCATATTATTAAGACCACAGCTGCTACTTATCTGATAGTTTTCATTTCCGCCTGACAGATTATTATGGTGTCCCAGCACTTCACTCATCCATGGTTGAACCACAATGAAGAAGGAGTGTCTGCGTCTTTGACCAACTAATACGCTCCGCGGGGTAATTTTCCTGATCCCCTGATATTTCAGTGGTGACAAACTCAAGGGGCCTTAAAATTGCTGTGTTCGGCTGCCAACATAGCTGGAGGTAAAGAGCCTCAGCGAAGTTAATGTGCTTGGAGTAGAGTGAGGAAGTGACATCACACACAGAACTTAAAAATACAGACATATACAAACATTAAAACTAACCCCAGGTTGTAGTTTTTATTAAAACTGGTAAGACCAGGGGGAACAATGTTCGCTGGGACCTTCTTGAAGTGGCTTTCTTTGACCCCTGTTACTCTGTTTCACACACACACACACATTAAAATGTTATATTTCCATGCTCAGCTTTTCATGATGAATAACCACTAAGTGGCGTTTCATAGGCTGCACATCTGGGAGCCCTTATAGTTTGAGATGGAGGGAACATGTCCTTTGACTTAAATGAACACGTACACTCCTCGCGTCCTTTATTTCGGTTCCATTCTTTGCATTTCATGTGACAGATCTTCACCCATCTGTCAAGGTGTCAGTTTTTTCTCTGACATCGCGGTTAAACTCAAACCCCAACAGGATTATGAAGGCAATATTGGATATGAATTTCACATGTCTTCTCCTGTCTTGTACATTCCTTGTCCTTTGTGTAAATCAGTGCAATGCCGGCTGGACCGCTCATACCAAGGTGCTGAGTCACCTCCCTGTCCTTTTTCTTCTAAGGTTAGGAATATTTCACAACTGACCATATTTATAAAAAAAAAAGACTGTTTATAGACTTTATCTATCATCATACCAATGAAGTCCAGGTTATAAATTGAAGGAAATATTTGGTCTCTAAAATGGTTGTGATTTTGGCTAGCTAGCTAACATAACCTTTGTTTTGCTTGCATTACAGTTAGCTATTTTTACCTCTAGCTAGCAAGCATAACCATTAGCTAGTATTTAATGCCTTTTTGTTAGTATTGTGTGACATGATCAAAGTTTTAGTAAGGGTTTAACACTTAAAATTTGCTGTTATCCAATGGTAGCTAATGATTACAAATTGACGGTATGACGGTACATGAGCAAGATGTAATAAGAAAATGGCCGCCTGACTTATTTTTTCTCTTTTTTTTTAACGTGAGACGTGCGCAAGTAGTAGCCTTAATGATCAAACATTGTCACACTCGCTTGTTGGCACCAGAACCACAATGCCAGTTAAATGTTGTGTCTAAGCTGTGACGCTGCCGACCTCCTGTAGTCCGGGCTGTAGCTCCGGTTATTGGGCCTGCTCTCCTCGCTCTACTGCCTGGATGTAAGCCAGTGCAGGACGTATGGAGGCTGTCGGGTTAAACTTGCATACAACCACTCAACTGAAGCGTTTCATATTCACATTCAGTATGGACTGAAAGGAGGACCAAAGGCTGATGGTGCTAGCACTGCTAACGTTAGCCACACTGGGCAGCTAAGGATGTACGTCCACACATTTTACCAGCATATAAAATAGTCGATAATTTCATTATCAAAGAATGCGACGAAATGTTTCAAATAGCAATACGGCTTTGGACAGTGTTTAGAAATAAATCGTGCTCAATTTGATGTTTTTCTGTTTTCTAAGCTTTAGATTTGTCGACTAGTCTGAATTTAAACTTCCACTTAATCGACAGGGAAATTAGTTGCTAGATACTTTTTTTTATTGAATATTTTGTCCTTGTGAGAGTTTCTTTACCTCCTAAGGAGCAGTGAGTCACAGCTAATTACATCTGTGTGTTTGTCTGTCTGTCAGGTCTGGTGATAAATATGTGAAACACGTCATGGTGAGCAGATCTCTGCTGTGTTTGTTTAGGCCCAGCGCCCGTCTCGCCTCTTAATACCAACACAACACTGATGGAGATCAGTCGTCTAAACCTGCCAATAAATCATGTAATCATGTTGTTCTGTTACACATCAGTTAGCGTGATGTGCAGATGTATTAATGCTTTAACACGTCTCATTAACTCTTTACGGCCTCTTGTTTAACGTAGACTTTGTTGTAGAAATCTTCTTTATATGTTTCTAAAAGCTGGTTTGTTTTTCAGATGTAACACATTTTTATAAGAATGACCTAGTTTAACAAGCAATGTGTGATGTTTTCAGATATTTTGCACATTGATTTTCCATTGTTTCCATTTGCAGGTAAATCTTATGTGCACATCAAGCATACAGTTAAACATTAACATCCCCTTTACATCACTGCATCTCAGGCTTCACGGCACCAATCACACCACCTGCAACGCTTAACTGCTGGTTGTTGGCAGTGATCCCAAGAAAACAATGAATTATGGGGCTATTAAAAAACAACTGTTTTCTATTAAATGACATATTTGTAGGCTCATGTGAGTCCCCCACAGAGAGTGTAGACATATAGATAAGTGTATATGACTCCTGACCCTATAAGAGATGATAATTGACATGAGAGTCATTTATCTTTAAGTTCAATTGAAATATTTTTTTTTAACAAATGCTGAAAAATATTCCATGTGCAATAATATTGTTTGATTTTTCACTTAAGTATCTGAAGTATTTAGTAAATGTTTAAGGGCACAAATGATTATTTATTCAAAGTGTGTATGTTCATCAGGCATTTTTTATGTTAGACATAATAACTGTTTGCAACATTCATCCATCATCTTTACCATTTTTTCCATTCGGGGTCGCGGGGGGCTGGAGCTGATCCCAGCTATCATTGGGCGAGAGGCGGGGTACACCCTGGACTGTTAGCCAGTCAGAGTCACCAATCGATCTAACGTGCATGTCTTTGGAGTGTGGGAGTAGGAGTACCCGGAGAGAACCAACGCACACATGAGGAGAACATACAAACTCCTCACAGAGAAGCCTCCTTTCCGACGATGATTTGAACCAGGGACCTTACCGCTGTGAGGCAACAGCGCTAACCACTGCACCGCCGTGCAGCCATGTGTCATTACTTTAAAATAAATCTAAAATATTGTTTTTCACAACTGAATTGGCAACAGCTTGGATGAGGCTAGCTGATAGCTAGCTTTAGCTTTATCTTACTGCATCGAATTGGTGTGAAAGCACGGCCATTATAATCAGGCCTCCATTCAATAGCAAAAACGTACACATGCTAAGAAAGCATTGCTTGATAATTTACCCCAAAAACTAAATTCCATAGTGCAATAAATTCATACTTTTGAAGTTTATTTTATTGTGAATGTTTACATCATGATAACAATGAAACCGTGATTAACTGCACAGCCTTACTTTGATTATAAATAACAGTGGAGAATCACAACCTGTCCTCTGACAGACAAAATCAGTCCTAAATAAGCTGCACAATCTTCTCGGAGGAACATACTTGTTGCTACCTCCAGATTCTTACAATGATATCAATTTAAGACAATCTTTTTGGGATTGATCCACAATCATTCAGAAAGTTAAATTAGCAACTAAATCAATACCTTAATCTCCCACCTTAATCTGCTGCTGCTTTTATTCTCACTTTGAAGCTAATCACTAAACGAAACACAGTGGCCCCTTTTTTGTCTCCCTAATGTGGCAATCAGCGGACCCTTCTCCTCACACACACACACACTACTGTGCTGCGCCTCACTTAATGCCTTTAAAGGGAAGTTAAAAGTTCATCCCTTTAAGCCCTAATCTTTTCCTAATGGCCGCTTGTTGAGTTAATAGTTAAATAGCAGACAGGATGGCTGTTGAGTAAAGCTAAACACATGTTCTCACATCAAAGTCTTAAAGTAGATTTAACCCTCTGACATCTCAGTACAGTAAGATTACAGCAGCTGTGTGTCGAGCCTGGTCAAGCTCGTGTTACCCCAAAATGTAAAAAGTAGAGTCCCCGTAGTGAACTTTGAGAAAAGCTGTAAGTATGTGTGTCAATGTAGAAAAGGCTTGACATATATGGAAAGGATACATCAAATAGTAACTGGAACATTATAATGATTTCCATACCGACCAACTTATACAACAATGAAAAACTTGCTCGGTAACTCAGTTGTGGATTACAATTCCTTTATTTTAATCTTTAGATTTAATATATAAATGCATATAAGAGTACAAAAATAAAACATTTGTATAATATTCATTTTACATAGCGAAAAGGAGATGAATAGATGAGCAGATCTCACTGACTTTAACAGTTAAATGAAGCTACACATTCAATCATCATGAAGCACAGAATGAAAAACAGCGTAGTTAACGTAAAGACACGAGACAGAATTTACTGATCACACTTAGAGAGTTAGAGTCAATTTAGTTGTTAAAACATGAATACATCTGTTATAAAGTGCATTGCTATCTGCATGAAGGCAGTCCCATCATTGTACACATATTGTCAGTAAAGGTTTCTACTTTTACCTCTGCCACTCTAAATATAACATTGTGATTTAACTACTCATGTGATTACTGTTATTTATATTTCTGTACACCCTTCTTTGAAATGGACATTCATAATAAGAGGTTATTTCATCCAGTACCCCAATTTTAGCCGACTGTGTCATGATTTTCTCCCTCATCATCTTAAAACACGGCTTTGAGATTACATTGAATTCAAACGGTTTTAAATCCAGATGTTCACCTTTCTTCCTAACAGGAAAATAAATCAGACTTTTTGGGGTTAAAGGATCGAGCAATCACAGCCACAGAAACAGCTCCGGAAACACTCAAGCTCGTTTGGCATTTACAAAAACATTGTAATTGCCATTTTTATAGGGATCTTTTATACATCTTATTATTCAGTCTGGGGGTTTCTGGCACTCCATTGAAAATTCCACGCTGCCAATTAACGTGAAACATGGAATAGGACCTGGAAAACGCATAAGCCTTTCCTCTGTTTAAAGGAGAACACATACATTGTTGAAAGTCATTTAGTACGATTAAAATCAGACAGAAAGGATAAGCAGATGCCACATAAAGGATTTGTTATAATAAATCTCCTGGCTCAGTGGTACGCAGGAATCTGTAAAGTTTGACTTTGTGGAGAAAAACCCTCCGGCTGACATGCATCTCCTTTAAACCGGGTTTATCCTTCTGCGTCGACTCTACACCGTAACATATGCTAGGTTTGTATAGCTCTGTAACAACAGAGAAGCCTATGCACGTAGCCTAGCATGCACCTCCTCAAAAATGTAACTATGCCTCAAAATGATGCAACCACAAGCCCTGTGATTGGACTGCTGGGTAGCATCATTTCCTGCATTTACAACATTTCAGGTATCGCTGCTGTTTTCAAAATTTTGCAGAAGGAAGAACGCTGTAAGCCAGGTTAATCCACTGCTGCTCAAAATGTATGATCTTCGAAACCAATATAATACACTCAACCATAATGTGGTAGATCCAAAAACTGGCGATATAACAAGCATAGAAATCTGCAAGTTTGCAGTGCTTACGATGGCGTAGGCCTCTCAATGTGTAGCTACAGCGAACAATCGACGCAGAAGTATAAACCAGGCTTTAGGGTCCATCCTTTTTTTTTTTTTTACTTGAATGACAGAGGCCAAAGGGACACAGATATCTCCAAAAATAGCTCTTTACTGTTGAAGTCCATTTAGAAAAAAGTATATACAATACAGTTAGAAGAGACATACACTCACAGATATAATTGCACTTTGCACTTATATCATTTACTATCTCTATAAGTGGTGAGAGGGGTGATGGTGGAGACGTTGATGGAGTTGGTGGGTTTGTGTTCATGGTGAAGAGTTGTATTCCATGCAGAGGGCCGCAGCGTGGCAGCCGGGATAAGTGCTGTACAACAAACCAGATGATCTCCGCTTACATGTTATATAATGTGTGATGGCTCGGGAGGATGCCTGCAGGGGCTTTCAGTTGCCTTGTTTGGATTTCCTCATCCTGGAAGAGCAAAGAAAGTTGAATGATGTTGTTTTATTTCCAATTTAGTCCAAAACCAGTACAAACCATCGTAAAAACAAACATTTGTATCCTTTTCATTTGAGGAAACACCGTGCTGTGAAAATGTCATCAAAAGGCCTTTCACAAAACTCCTGAAACACTTTCCAGGAGGAGCTGTATACATACACTGTGTGATCGCAAACAGGCTAATTTTTCACTCGGACTTCCGCCGGAGTTCCTCCTGCTAGACCCCGAGTATTTTTTCTGCAGTAAGTCCGAGTGAGCTGATGTGAGAACGCAGCAGGATATTATCCGGAGAATTCACCTCAAGCCAATAGGAGGGGGGGGGTGGATGTTAATATCCCATGATTATTGCATGGTGCGTATAGTGTATGCAGGAGACGGCTACAATATCCAAGCGCATAATTAAAAGCCTTCATTAAATTTTCTGTTTGCCAGTAAGTTGTTCTCCGTTCTTTTGTTGATATTGTGATTCAGTTGAACTAAACTTTGCATTGATATAAAGGCAGGTTTGTTTACGTCACGTCTTGCCTCAGGGGACCCCCCACCCACACTCCTGTATGAAAGAGATAGTCTCCAGCTGTGAGGTGCATATGTGAATGACCAGATCAGCAGAATTTCAGAAGCAGTCCTCCTGAAATTATCTTCATTAACCCTTTTCACACATACGGAAATCTCCTGAAAAACTCCGGAGATTTCCAGGAGGAGCTATATTAAGATTACACATAGCATTGATATAAAGGCAAACATTCTCATTATAACATTGCGTAGCGTTGTTTATTTACATCACGTCTTACGTCGGGAAATACCCCGCGGCCCCTCCCCTCTGACAGGGAAAGTCCCCCGCTGTGAGGAGCAATATGTGAACGGCTACTTCGGGAGAATCTCCGGAGAAGCCCTCCTGTAAATATCTAGGTATTATCCGGAGTGCACATGTGAAAACAGCTTTTCAAACCCCATTTAGAGAATAATGAGTATGTGTTTGCTAAATGCCAGGAATACAATAAAATGTGCCAATATTCTGAATGTAATCACTTCCTGGATCCTCAAACAAAAACAGCTGCTTCCAAGTTTACTGGACCAAAAGTTTGTTGACCTGTAATCAAACATTTTAGCCTTGTGATGTTAAATGTATCCTGCTTTCAAGTTTGGCTGGCTGATCTGCGCCCAATTTAGCCCGTTAGCGAGCTGGCTTTTTCTCACGTGGGTTTCATTCAAATGAGAGTTTTTTGTAAACCTTGCTGCTAAAGGGTACTTTGATAAGTGTTTACAGAATGTAACACAAGTACTGCTGCACAAACTGTCTAGAAACACTTGCTCATGGGTTGGCAGTGGATTGACTTTGTATTGTAAATGCAGAGGCAAACTTAAATCCATAAAAACTTATAAGACAAAAAGTAGCATGACTGAGAATCGTGTGCCTTCACACATTTGAAATAAGTTTGTCCCCCTCCTCTTTCACTGCATGTGTAATCTGAAACACATTAGGTCTTATCCATTGTAAATGACCACCATCTACCCTCTTCATGGGCCTTTTTGTTATGTAGAGGACAGCTCTCACCTCGACACGTCGAGGGCCCCGCAGTCGTCCCTGAGACAGACAGGCTGACTGCAGGACCGCAGGGGTCGGTCAGAGGGGCTTCAGTTTGTGTATCAGGAGAAGAGGAGATGTCTACGTCCTAAGTCACTTTTTTCATCCTTCGACTCTTCATCTGTCTTCACCGTAGTGCTTTTTGTTTTTGCACCGCTACAGGGCTGCTCTATCCTTTTGAAATATTATCAGCACGGCGTTCAGGGTGGAAACTTGATCCCTTTTATAAACTTTATGGGGATGTTTTTCAGAATGGGTCTTCAGGGCAGGAAGGAGTCAGTTGATAATGGCTGTGAGTTTGCAACAATTGGGATTTGAACTGTTGACCTTTACATCTCCAGATTGGTGGATTTACAACCGAGTCATAGTAAAAACTGACTTTTTTGACATGTCCATTTCATAAACACGACAGTAGAGTGCAATTGTTGCAAACCCACATCCATGTCAGCCTTTATATGATGTAATGAAGGGCCATATGTGCAAAAAAGAAAACCTATATAAGTATTAGAAATCAGTTTCTAGCCATACTTGAGTTTTCCAAAAGCGAACCTGCATAAAAAAATTAACATGGCTGCTTTTTTAGTTCTTTACATCTGGCGCTGGAGTTTGATGATCCATTTTTTGCATTGGGTCTTAATCTTTAGAAGGGGGTGTTTGACTCTTTAATAACACAGCACTTAAACTCCAGATACATCTTTTAGCATACATCTTAGGAATCAAGAACACATAGGGGCATTTCTGCATGTGTATGCTAACTGCTATTTAGCCAGTTAAAAGTCAGACCAAAATCGATTGGCTTCACTTAGCCTTAAAAAAGGTCAACACAACAAATGTAGTCTTCTTTAATCATAATTTTCTGATAGTAATGAGGTTTATTTTGATCAACATGTAATGGACGATATTGGGACACTCAGTTTTTACCATTTGGAGCTTTATTTTTAGACACTTTAGTAACCAAGGAGAAGGGAACTACAAATTTTACTATATTTATTCAGGTGTGGCGGAAGTCTTGATTTTTTATTAAAACTGTGTTGCAATTACGGCGATGACAAGGGATGAACTTTTAACCGCACTCAATAAAGAGCAGATTAGACCTGGTATTAATTTTTTTGTTATGTCGCACTTAAAACCCACAGTTAGTGTCTGAAACGGGAATCAGTCTGTCTTCCCACTCGCTCATGTACCAACATGTCTCAAGCTTGAGCTCCATTACAAATTGGGCAATTAAGAGCTGTCACCTTCACAATGGACCATTGACAGATGTCAAAATGCGCATTTGGTTTTGTTTTTTTGCATTCCTTCCTCTATGTGACTAAAGAGTTGTTGAACAGCGGTCACAACCAGTAATCTGTACCAGGTTGACATCTGACAGCAGATAATAAAAAACAAAAAATCAGTTTGAACGTACTTGTTGATGGCGTTCTTCAGGTACTGCTGCAGCCACCGGATCTCGGGGTTCACACACACCTCTTTGTTTGACTTCAGCTTGGCACTGTGCAGAAAATAGATATAAATACCAATGAGGTTACACATCAACTTTTACTTATTTCAATCCTCTGGAAATACATTAAGGATACACCCTACTTTACAAATGGTGCTGATGTACAGACAACTCATACATCATCAGAAAAGGCCGGAGGGAGTAAAGTTAGAAAACATTTCTAAAACATGAACATACATAATCAGATTTTACAACTTCTTGATCGAATGAAAGATAAATGGCTTCAGATGAAACGATGGATTATGCAAATTCAGCACTATCAGGTGTCTTGATGCATTGTTATTAAAAAAGACAGAAGTAACACTGACGCGTCACTTTGACACTCACATAGCTCATTAGCAGTGGTCATGGATCATGGATCACATTTTAACCCTTTATTGTCTCTGTATTACGCTTTTGTCACTTTGTTGAACTCAGTTGCAGTCCGCTGGTGTAAAGCACGTTTTTATGTGTACACACTTGAATCAGGTTTATTTTTACCATTTACACTAAACTGATAACACAGATACAGGATATCTGAACATGTAGCACTCATGGTTCAGATCCCTTCAAGTTAAATGTTTCACCTTTTATTGAACTACCTCATAAACGTGCTTTAAAAAACGATGTAAGGGAAGTTGAATCAGATAGCATGTGGCTACAGGTTTCTTTCATGCGGTTCAGTATAACCCTTTGAGTATTTACAGAGAGGGTCAAGTCTGGATCACATCTCCATGTAGGAGATACCTCGTTAGGCCATGTACTGCGCCCCCCCTCCCCCAACACACACACTGATTATGTGAGTATGAGGTTTCTGTAAGATCTGCCAATTTGACCCCTCTATAAACATTTAACTGTTCCTGAAGCTTTATTTGACCATCTATCTAACAAACTGTTTTGTAAACCAAATTTGAGGCATCAGAATGAAATACATCAGAGCTGGAGGTTGTGACACAGATTGAGGAGATAACACGGCATCACATGCAAAGTAGAAACCAACAACTATCATTGAAATCATGATTTAAAAAAATGCATCCAATTTCCACCACCCTTTAACTCTCACTCGTACTCTTATGTTGCACTTCCTGCGGATGTGTCAGTGTGCCTGTGGTACAAATGTGTCTCTTCAGTGTGTGTGTGTGTGTGTGTGTGTGAGACAGAGGGGCGTATGTGTGTCTACTCTTTTCTCTGACCTGTCCCCTCTCTGAGATTGATGGTGAGAAATGTCCAACAAGGGAGGAAACCTCTTGTAGTTTTTAAGACCAGAGAGGAAAACATACTGTTGTCTGTGTTTGTGTGGTCTGACATTTAAAAAAAACCCAAAAAAAACTCACATGACTTGGAAGGGGCAGTTTGGCGTGTGGATGAAGCGGAGCTCTCGGATGTAGTTCCTTGGGAGGCTGTTGACTGTGGAGCGACAGTAGCATCTCTCCACCAGACTGATGGGCTTTGCTGAGGAAGAGAAGAAGAGGTCAGGATCATCAATTTCAGACTTACAGCAGAGCAGGTTCTACAGAAGGCAATAAAAACAGATTAGAGGGAAGGTAAAGGTCACCTGAACACACCGGGATACTACTAAATAGATAATTTACATTCATTGTTATGACATCAATTAAAGGAGCGAGAAGAAATATGAAAAGGGAGTCCGTATAAAACATCCTATTTGATACATCCATCAAACAAACGGCATTTCAAGCAAACTAAAGTAAAATAATTCAAACTAAGCCATCAGCGTGTTATTTAAGATATTTCTGCATAAGGATTCAGGCGCTGAAGTCTAATTGTGTTTTGTAGATGGATTTTCCATCTGTCATATATAATAAGGTTACAGGGGTCAACATTGGCATATGTTGGCATTTTAAGAATAGAGACTTTTTTAATGTTCCACAGAGGACGCATCGTGGTGGGGGACATTTATTTTAGGACTTTTAGACCCACAAACACAGAGCTCTTTCAGACATACACTTCATGATGGATGTGAAATACTTTTCCATCAGGCCTACAACCCTCATCAGCTTTTAAGGTTTACTAGACACAGAGATTTTTAAGGTTGATAATGGTGGAAAAATAAACAGCACTATGTTTTCCTTGACTCCTGCGAGACAAAAATCAGGGTTTGCATGACTAACTTTTTTTTTTAAACGCACAATTGAGCTTCAGATTCATTTTTGTTCCTGGAGGGGAAATTTGTTTTGAAGCAGGAGCAGGAAGAAGACAATACACAAAGACAACATCAGCGTAAAATCTGAACTAAAACAAAATGTAAAATCACACAACACAACAAAATAAAAACATCGCAATAAAATCAATGAGTTCATACAAAATGGGTATTTCTACCAAGTTAGTGAGATGAAATTAAAAGAATGAAAGCGATAAAAAATGGTTATTTTTAACTGACATCTTTTTAAACGGGGACTGATTGTCATAACAACCACAGAAACAGATGGTGAGAAGTATGGCGATAGATTAAACTCTATGCTAATGACTTTAACACATGGTATTAACATGATAAAACGAGCAGCACCTTCAAGTTGGGTGCTTGACGTCGCTGTGTAGACTAGCTGTGGCTTTATTTCAGAGCTCCATGTGCGTTTAATTAAACGAAAACAAAGAGCAGAACAAATACACACGTCCACTGCTGATCCGATAGAGACTCTCTTATCACCGGGGGCCATATGTGCCTGTTGGCGCTTTACGCACGGAGGAAAATGTTTTTCCTCACTTACAATTAAGCTCATACATAAACTGAAGTACCGAGAGAAAATGTTGTTTTTTTTGTAGAGGCTGACATATTATTTAGGTGTGTCATTTTGTGTTTAATGTGATTTTTGAAAGGTGAAATAAATTGCAAATTACTTGGATATAGATGGGGTTTTTTTCTTCTAAAATTAAGATTTTACCACGTAAATTACGTAAATGTGGATAAAAAATGGGCCAAACTGAAGTTGACTTTTAACAAACGTCTTTCTAGGATCTATGTTTGATGTGAAGAAACATCTGGAAGAACTGGGCTTCACTATTTTACGCTCAAAATACGGCGGAATTGTAATTTTGTGTCTTTTATCTTAACATTTTAAATCAAATCAAACTTTATCATAGACTCAAGAACCAGATAAAGTAGGCTTGATACAAATAAAGAGACAGCACGATATTAGAAATGTATAAAACTACATTAAACGTTAATTATCTTCAAACAGGAGCCTATAATAAAATAGGAATAACTCCAGGCACTAACTCCTTAAAATCCTCCTTGTAATGTTTCCTATTTTTATCAAACAATCTCTTAATCATTTTTTTTACATTGACAGGAGAAAAAAGCAAAGAAAAACAAAATGCAACAATAATACTCAGCATTAGGCAGAAAAACAAAAAGTTCATACCTTGTGATGGAGGCGCGTACATCAGCACCGTGAGCGCAGCCACGAGAGTAAACAGCTTCACATCCATCCTGTGGTTAAAGTGTCCGAGGTTTGATGCTGCTCAGAGTAAAGTCCAGAAGAGCTGTGACAGACGAGACGCTGCCGCAGAGTTAAATTACAAACTAACGTCAAGTCAGCGAGTCAAACAGAGGAGACTTCCGGCGATGGGTAGCAAGATAAAACCAACAGGAGCACATGTTGTTCTTATCATGTCGTATATTAAACTAAGACAAAAAATAGTAAAATGAACTCCTAACTCCAAAAATGGAGTTAATTCTTTGAGATATTTCAGTGATTGATGACTATTTGGTTGCATTTTTGCTCTTATTTTGAAAGATTTTTTCCTTGCTTCCTGTTTCGTGGTGGTGATCCAGGGGAATTTGACGGTAATTGACAGACCAATAGAGACGCGTTCATTTCTGTTCATTTACATTTTAGACCCCCACTTCACACACGCGCGCGCACACGCGCACACACACACACACACACACACACACACACACACACACACACACACACACACACATTTGCAAAATCTCTGGCCTTGTTTTTCAGTACAAGTCTCAGACTCAATATTCTGACATGACAAGAGTTGTTTTCACTAGACTTTATAAGAGTTTTTAGTCCCATATAATTTCATGAAATCTTCAATTAACCTAAATGTTTGGTGTTTACGGCTTTAAAGCCACATATACACTCCTAAAATGTCTATGACCTGATCTCCCTGAGCTGCTCTATAACACATGAACCTCTCAGTAGGAAGTTTTCCCTATTTAATTTGGGGAGGGAGGGGGTTTCAGGAGGCAAGACATATTAAAAAAAATATTTTGTTATTAAATAGCATATATTTTAAAGACTGATTTGGGCCCTTTTGCCTTTATTTGATAGGACAGCCAGGCAGAGATACCAGGAGAGAGAGAGAGAAGGGAATGACATGCGGGTCAAGAGCGACAAATTGGACTTGAACCCGGGCTGCCTGCTCGGAGGACTATAGCCTCCGTACATTGGATTAAACCCTAGGCCATCAGCGCCTCCAATTTTAATTTATTTTTTATTTCCTGCTTTGCCATGGACTTAGACTATAATTATGTAACGTGTGGATTTGTATTGCATATTTCATGTGTGGACCCCAGGTAGAGTAAAATACATACAGGCATAGTTGCTACCTCTGTAGTGGTCAATGCGGCTCAAAATACATAAAATAGTTAAATACATATAGACAGGATGTAAAAAAGATGGCAGATGGGCAACAGAAGCTGTGATGACAGTTTTTGCCTTTTTATCAGCGGTATGTGTCACAGTAAGAGTGGAAAAGAAGACCGACGAGCAGAACAGAGTATATGGAGCAGCCACGTTATGTTGCACAAAGATTGCACAGGTCGCTCTCGGGTCGCATGATATAAACTTCAACATGTGGTTTTCCAGAATGTTTCCTGCTGCGCTCTCACATCAGCTCACCCTGACTTCATGCGACTATTTTAACTGAGACGGCTGGAAGGAAATTTTTTGCAACTTGCGTTCACACATGCAGCTCACGGCAAACATTTTGTGTATATTTTCAGGAGTTTTGTGCATTTGTGAAAAAAGTTCTTGTGCCCGCGAGGTGTACATTCCCTCCTCTTGACATGAGTGTTGTTACTGTTGCTGGAGCTATGAAAAGAAACAGGAGACGTTTGTGTGCGTGTGTTTGTTTTTAGTCATGGTTTGTCTTTTCGGAGACTTCATCGGCCCAAATTAATTAAAGGTGTAACTGGAGAGAGTTCACATGAGCGTAAAGTGTTCTGTTACGTCTGTGGCTCAAATAAATAGATGAGGGGTGCAGAAAAAACACACACACCTCCCAGCTTGTGTTTGGAGAGGAGTTTAAATGAATCTCTAAACAGTTGTCTTTATACGGCCTGCTGAAACGTTCAGTGTTAGTGTCCGTGTGTGTGTGTGTGTGTGTGTGTGTGTGTGTGTGTGTGTGTGTGTGTGTGTGTGTGTACACAAACACATACAAATCCTAACTGTTTTGGGGGCATTATTAACGTTGTTAACATGAATCAGATGTGAAGTCGGTTTCAGCACAACTTCATCATCTTCCGGAGCAACATATATGTGTGTGTTATGATTGTATGAATAAATGTGTAGTTTGTGTGTGTGTGTGCACGTGAACTAGACTTGTCTTTTTGCACTGATCACACACACACACACACACACACACACACACACACACACACACACACACACACACGGTCACTCCAATGCTGTCATACCTCGGATACTGTTCTAGAGTTGTTTAAGCCAAATACACACAACTGAACTAAATAGAATCCCTCAATATAAATACATCCTGCCATCATTCATCAGCAGAAAACAAAAGCTCATGTTTACACAGGCGGAGAATGTGTGTTGTGTGTGTGTGTGTGTGTGTGTGTGTGTGTGTGTGTGTGTGTGTGTGTGTGTGTGCGCGTGTGTTTTGTTTTCTCAATCACAGAGCGACTTGAATATGCATAAGTTGTTGGTTACGTATTTTCTATTCTTCTTCTTTTTTTTTATTGGAGACATATCCTCTCATCACAGAGCTGTGGGAAAGCGAACCACCTGCTGACAGCCGGCTTTATCATGAAACAAGCGGGGGGTAGAAAATAGTTGTTTCACAAGGATAATGATTTTAATGCTTTTGATTTACTGCATTCAGCCTGTATTATTGTGTATGTACAAGTTCAAGTATTTCGGCAATACTTGGCTCAAAGATTTGAGACGTATTAGATTTTGATTATGACACACTTTAAGTTTTTTTGTTATGTGTAAATCTATGTGTTTGTCAGGGCATTTCTGCTATACGCATAATAGGACGGTGTGTTTTTTTAGATGCTTATAGATGTTTCTATGGAGACCAGACATACAGGAGAGGACGCTTGGTGCAGAATCAGCCGACAGCTGAAAAGACTCATATTGACTTCTCTCACAGGCCACAAAAGCTCACGTCTAGAGTGTATGTGTGTGTGCCCGTGTATGTGTCTGTGTGTGTGTGTGTGTGTGTGTGTGTGTGTGTGTGTGAAGCTAAGAAAGAGAAAGGTGGAACAAGCAGAGAGAGAGAGAGGAAAAGAGCCCCGGTATTATCTAAGTATTTGCGTTACTTTCTCTCAGATTGGTTCGAAATGTGACTTCAGAGGGGTTCAGATCAAAGTGCTCCGATCACAACAGCTCACCAACCTGCTCACACACATTAACACTTTACAGAGTATCCCTTCTCAGACCTGTGTGAGTCTGTCAACAAAAAACATGTGCGGTGCACAGGCAAAATGCATCACAAAGTGATTAGTCTCAAAGCCACACACACACACAGGAGACAGTTGTAAACGGGGCTTTCTGTGACATATATCATAGCAGAGACACGCCGAAGATCATCCAAGTATTTCAACATTTCTGTCACAATCAGAGTGATTTATAAAGGGGTGAATGGACTGCCGACTGTAGAAGTAATGTTACATAATCAGATCTGGCAGCACATCATCTTGCTCAATTGTTCTATTCTTTCTTTCTCTGTGATCTGCATTAGTCTTAAAATAACACTCTTTTTTTCTTACTAGGTTTTTCTAATATATAAATTGTATCCAATGGGTATCCAGTGGCAATTCTAGAGTCCTTTGGGGCCCTTGTAAAATCATTTTGGGGGCCCTCCAACCAACGTTAAGCTGGAGGTTTCCTATCATTGCAAAATTTGCACATTTCCGACCGCTGCTTTGGGGCCCCCCTAATGGTCTGGGTACCCCAAGCAGTTTCCTGCCTTGCCTGTTGAAAAGCAGCGCCTCTGGATCTTCTTTAAAGCAGTGAATAAAAAAAAAAGAGTTTTAAAGGTGATTCAGGGTCAGATAGTGACATTTCTTAAAGCCTCTAGAAATGCGGCCTATAGCAGAAATGCAAATGTGATATCAACTTGTTTATTTTCATTTTTAAGAACCTATGCAAATTGAAGTTAAAATAGCATTCACAATTAGAAACCCTAGATGATTAAAAACAACTTATTTTGCTGTTTGTGTAATTCCTTAAAACTGTGACGGCATGGCCAATCACATTTGATTGACAATCCGTGTCGTGCAGCCCTAAAAATGATGAGTTAAAATCAGAGGTGGAACAAGAAACCCAGAAATCACATTTTATTAAATTTCTACTGGTCACTTATTAGTGAGTACTAAATTGCTTAGTTAGCAGCTAACATTCAACACAACGTTAGCTGAGATGAGATTTGTTCTCAATGCTAACTGAGAGCAATGCAGCCAGAGCAATATTTTAACAGAGCAAACAATTTACAACAAGTGGCACAAAAAAGATTACCAAATGTATGTTTAATACTTGAGCTGCAGAGGGTGCTAACAGTAGTAAATTGCTGCTGTAATACTAATAATTGAAACTAACTTCTAATACTTTTTGTACTCTGTTTATTGTGCACATAAGATCCTAGAAAACACATTTTGAGGTACGTGTGTTTTCAGTTGCTTTAATAAAAATGCATGTTATCCTGAAGTTTAATGTTGATGTAAAGTCATTTGGGAGAGAGGTGCTACCTGCTATGCTTCACCGACACCTGTGCAGGCCGGGGTCTGGTAAATCTCTTTGAGTTGTGGTGTCGCGTTCTGTAGCCCATCTGTCTGTCTCTCTGTTTTGGGAGGTCTCTCTCCGGGGGTCCATCTCCCCCTCTCTCTGAAGACTCATTTCTTACAGTACTCTCAAAGAAACAGGGTAAGTGCTTCTCTGACGGCGAGTGTAAATCACGGGTCAGGTTGTTCTCTGAAGCTCTGAACGCAAAGCAGGTGCCCTCAAGAGTTTTTTTAGAGAATCGAAAAGCTTGTTATCGATGTTCAGTCCGTCTCAGTTTAGTCTCTTTCACTTTGTGGCCTTATTGGCTTAACATTTAAAGACATGTGTTTTATGAAGTTGATGAAGAAAAAGACACAAGGGGACAAAAAATGTAACGCTAAGAACATTATGGAGGTAAACACACAAAGTGTATTCAAATAGTCAGCCTTGTGTCAGACTGACAGCCAAAATATACTCTAATCCATCTTCCTGCTTGGTCACTCTCTCTTTATCTCTTCTTAGCTT